GTTCAGCTCACGAGCCATTTTTCGGCCACTGCGACGCGGGTTACGATAAAGTCGCTTCTTTATTTTTCGAACCATTTCTGCTGATGTTGCTGTTTTCTTCCGTCCACTTCCTTCCGTCCTCTACCAGTATCACGGTAACGAGCAATAGTACGAGACACAAAAGATTTATTCACATTTAAATGCTGGAGTGCTCTAACGATAGCCACTCGTGGTTTTCCAGCCAAATACAAAGACATCACACTATCACGCTTGAAATCCATAACGAATTTTTTTTTCTGGACAATTCTCACCAAAATGCTTTTGTACGCTTGTAAACAATATAATGGACTGTCACTGGAATAATTTTAACAGCTGTCGGACGAGTGGCTTAGAAATGACAGCAGTCTGAAGTTGGTTGCAGTTTTTTCGTCTCAAGCTTTATATTTTTTCATTCGATTTGGTATGATTTAATTCTCACAAATTCTCCATAAAATCTTTTATATAAGTTATGTGAAGCTCTACTATATATGCAAAGGCCTGTAGGGTATCATAAAGTCGGCCCTACCCGACTTTTAGACTTTCTTTACTGGTTTTTTATTTCATATAATTTTTCTAGACATTTTGTTTTTTTTTTTTTTTTTTGTAGAAAAAATACACATATCCATATCAAATGCCTAAAATGAAGCAACCAAAACATGTTACTTCTTTTTCCCTTCCATGTCCAACAAATATTTGTTGTCCCAATTTGTTGTAATGCTACACACTTCTTTGATGGCTAATTTTCAAGCAATTACCCCTGGCCACAAGTCAACCACCCTCTCTCAACTTTCAACTAAACTCCCCGGAGTAGTTACAGCCATCCATCTAAGCCATAATAATTTGATGGATGATGAGTTTGTGGAATTTTTAAATTAAAATTCAGACAAACGGCCAACAAACACACACACACACTCCAAAAACATAACCTTACTAATCGCATAGATAGTCAGTCATCCAACCAGGCAACTAACACCCCAAGTACCAGCTCCAGCGAGGTATGAAATTATTATGATTTCTAAACATGTAATCTAAAATCGCATTCCAGTCGCTGTGTTCGTTCGTTCGCGCCAGTGTATCTCTTGTCCGCCGGCAGCAGAGTCGGCGGTATATCCATTGCAAATTTGTACAAGTTTATCGCCCACATTCCCCTGAGGGTAGGGAATATTTTCGTTTCTCTTTTCTCTTTTTTTTTTTGTTTTTGTTTTTGTGGCCATTTAGCCAAACAATCAACGACCAATCAGTCGCTACTCATGTGTGTAAATAAATAAATAAACAACAACGGCAAAAACAACAACAATTCGCCATTTCAGTTTCCACAGCAACAACGGTAAAATGCATTTGGCAATGACGTCTGGTTCCTGGTGTTTCAATGCATGCGAATGCATGGCGTTGTCAACAACAACAACAATTTACTTAATTTTATTTAAAATAAAATAAAAATATTGGTTTGTTAAATGGTTAACCATGCAAATGAAATGAATGGCGTTCCAGAGGTCAGACAATGTCATGGGGCAAATAAATGCAACAAATATTGGGGTGGCCTAGACAATTTAATATTCATGGGAAAGAAGAAAATCACGAGCATGATTCATGTATTGGAAAAAAACATTAAATTGTGAATATCCTTGGGGATTTTTCCTCCAAGAAAAACTTTTATCAAGCCACATTTGGTGCTGTAAGGTAATTAAAAGAATAGTTAAAGAAACCCGTGATTATCCTTAAGAATGTTTTTAAAGATTTTTCCGGTTAGGTTCCTCGATGAAAAAACCTTCAAAATCTACATTTATTGCTTTAAAGATTTTCCTGAAAAATATTAAAAGAATTACGTAAGGGTTGTTATGATAAAACTTTAAAAATTTATTTCTCTAATGGTTACTGGAAAAAAAAATCTTTAAAAAAAAACCAATTTTGTTTCCTTAAGAGTTCTTGGAAAAAATCTAAAAAAATAACGTTTATGTTGAGGACCCTTTACTGAAAGGTCCTTGAAAATCCTTGAAAAATGTCCTTTAAACTACGAATTTACTCCGTTATATAACATTGAGGAACTTTGAAAGTTCTTATAAAAATGTATTTTAAAGACTTAAGGTCTTAGAAACATAAGTCATGTTTATTACTCTGAAGTCCTTCGTGAAGTCCTAAGAAAAGTCTTAAAAAAACATATATATATTACTTTTAGGTCCTTGGAAAAAATTTTTGAAAATATTTTGTTCTTATTACTGTGAGATCCTTGAGGGTCCTTGCAAAAATCTTAAAAAAAATATTACTTTGAGGTCCTTGGATAAAATCTTAAAGGACTCGCATGTATTTTCTAAAGAAAAATCATGGCTCCTTTTATCTGTGATGTCCCTGGAGGGTATTTTGAAATTTCTGTAAAAAAACATTTTTATTATTTTAGGATCCTTATAATCACTATTAAAGTCCTGGAAAATACACTAACAATCAACGTTCATAACCTAAAAAGCCTGGGTATTATTCTTAAAAGCTCCAGGTTTACTTCAGTGAGGTCCTTAAAAAATCTTAAAAATTCACATTTGTTACTATGAGGTCCTTAAAATTCCTTAGAAAATCAGAATTTATTACTGTGAGTTCCTTGGTAATTTCTGCGAAGGTTCTGGGAAAATTACCTAAAAAATCAACGTTCATAATCTAAAGAATCCTTGACAATTATTCTTAAAAACTCCAGGTTTACTCCGGTGAGGTCCTTAGAAAAATCCGTAAATATTCCATTTTATTACTGTGAGGTCCTTAAAAAATCCTTCGAAAATGAGAATTTATTGCTGTGAGTTCCTTGCTGATTACTGCGAAGGTCCTGGAAAAATGCTCTAAAAAAACAATGTTCAAAACTTAAAAGATCCTTGATAATTATTGTTTAAAACTACAGTTATACTCCAGAGAGGGTCTTAGAAAAAATCTCATTTATTACTGTGAGTTCATTGGTGATTTCTTGAAAAAAATTAAATGAATGAAGACCATCCTAAGTACTGTGCGGTCCTTGGATGTCGCTTGGAAATGTTTCTTTAAAATATACCAGTGTATCGCTGAAAGGTCCTTTAAATAAAATCTGTTAAGGATTCAATTATTTTACGGCGAGATCCCTTACGAATCTTTTGAAAGGATTAATTAAAAAACCACCTTTATTACCATGAGTTCCTTGGAGTCATAAAAAATCATTTATTACGATGAGGTCCAGGAAGGTTTATTATTCTGAGTGGCCTTGGTAAAAATCTTTTTAATTTCACTTTAAAGGTCCTTTACAATATCCCATGGTTTACATTTAGGGTCCTTTTTTAGCTTCAGAGTCCTTGGATAAAATTTAGGAAATAAAAATCTATCAAAAACCCGTTTTATCGCTTTAGAGATTATTCAAAAAAGACTTTAAAAATCCTTAAAAGTCCTTGTAAAAATACTTAAATATTAATTTTTTACTGTCCTTGGTAATAAAAAATTCTTTAAAAATTTATTATTCTTTATTTCTATGGAAGCCCTTGGAAGAGTACTAAAATATCTACCTTTGGTCCACTGGTGTCATATATGACCTAGGTTTTTTAAAGTATGTCTAAATTACAGAACTCAGTATTTTTCGACAACAACGCTAAAGTTGGATATCAATACTCATATCGTATTTTTTTGAATATTGTAACGAACAAACCCAATAATATTGTTGGGCCTATTCAAATTTGCTATTCATCATTACAACCATTTACAGTAGAACAATAATTGTCCGACATAATAAAATAAAACAAATTTTATACATTTTAATGTCTTCCGTTTTCACGACAAAGGACCTAACTCCTCTAATATGAAAAGGAAACGGAATAATATCACCATCAAAACTAAATAAGTTAGTTTTGATATAATATAAGCTACTGGATTCCGAGAACACTATTTCGGGTGTTATAAGTTTCCATGCAGTCCTTTAGGCTTTATGAAGTTAAGGCTTCCCTTAGTTGGACGTTTTTATTTATTTTTTTTTTTTTTTGTATTTTTCATTCCAAAAAAGCATTTAGTCCTTTTTGCCTCAAAAGCGACAAATTTAAAGTCTGGTAATGCAGGACTATCTCTCCGGTTGAATAATTGTGGTTGTTGTTGCTGGTTTTGGCATACGTGTTGACTTCTACTTGTCGGTGCTGTTGCTGTTTTTGTTTCGCTCGCCCTGGTGTTAAAATCACGTCTACGACAAGTGGTAACATCAGAGGTTGGCTAAATGGCTGGTTGACTGGTCATTTGTTGTTTTTGCTGTTACACATTTTTTTTTGCTTCTGACCTTTTGTTGTGTCCTGCCATATTGTGGTCGTTGTTGGACAGCAGCAGAAAAAAAAACGAAACGCTCTTTGACTGCAAATGTCAGTTGTCAGTTGCCAATTATGTAATTTCGGAAATGCAACAGTAACAACAACAACCTATCCTGCTGTGATTTATTTAAACAAAATTAAATCATGGCATTCCACCATACCCCCGCCATTCTTATTGCCCTTTAAGCCCGAATGAATTATCACACTTTGGCCAAAGGAGAGCGAGAGAGGGGGTGAAAGGGAGAGCCATAGTCTCGTGAATCAAATACGTGTTGAAAATATTTAGAAAGCAATTAAAATTTGTAATATTTTTTCCACCAAAAAAAAAAACACCGAAAACTGAAAACATAAAAATCCATTCGGAATTCCTGCATAAATTCGAACAATATTTATGGCCATTACATGCTCACAGACACACACACACAGAAGGCAAGACAGACAGACAGTCAGACAGGCAAACAAACAGTTATTGTGGCACAGAAATTTGTTACATTTCCCACTCTTTATTGTTGCCCCCACCCCGACTAGCAAACATTTCAAATATTCCAATTGAATACCAGAAGGTCGTTTCAATTTGTTAGACATTAATTTAAAGATTTATTATTGTTGTTGTGCTTTTGTTGTAACGATAATCCCCACAAACAAATCCATAGTAAACATAAAGTTTATGTTTTTTTTTTCTTCTTCCAGATACCCATCGCAGTGACAAACCATCGACATCATGTGCCTCCTCCATGGCTGCCGTCTCGGCAGCAGCCGCCGCAGCTGTGGCCTCCATAGCCTCGTCACAGGCAGCAGCGGCCGCCTCTTCGGCCACGGTATCATCACACATGTCCCACCATCCACATCATCCCCATGCTCCGCCCCACCATGTACCGCATCATTTACCCCCGCTCAGTGCCCATCATCATCACCATCATCCGAACAGCAGCCTCTTGGCAGCGGCCAGTATGAGCCATAGTTTGGGCTTGGGAGGTCCACCGGGTCTGAGACCACCACCAGGCCATATACCCGATATGTGTCCTGTTTGTGGTATTAAACTATCGGCTGATGAGTGGAACTCTCATTTTCTAACGGAACTGGATCGTTTGTATAAATTGAGTTCCGGTATGGAGAGATCGAATTTACAGGCCACTTATATGTTTGCCCAACCCTGCCCCTCACAAGAGAATGCCATTAGGACCAGCCATAATCGTTGGGAGGTAAGTAGAGGTTGGAGAGACTTGGACTCAACATGGGGGGAAAATTGGGACAAATTTAGGAAATGTTGAGGGCACATTGAGAAATGTTGAGGTAACATTGAGAAGTGTTGAGGCAACATTGAGAAATGTTGAGGCAACATTGAGAAATGTTGAAGGAACATTGAAAAATGTTGAGGCAACATTGAGAAATGCTGATTCAAGATTAAGAAATGTTGATGCAACATTAATAAATGTTGAGGCAACATTGAGAAATGGATTCAACATTACTCATTAAAAAAAGTTGCTGAACATTTTTTTTTTTTTCATAAAAAGTGGTTACTTCAGAATTTTGAAATTTTGCTCCACAATTGAATAAATGTTGCTTCAACATTGTGAACTTCGCGAAATGTTGCTTCGGCATTACAAAAATGTTTTGCTACATAAAAAGGTTGCTCAACATTAAAAAGTGTTGCTTCAGCGTTTCAAAAGTGTTGTCGATAACATTTTTGGTTCAGCCTTTGAAAAAATGACTCAACATTCAAAACTTTACGAAATGTTTGAAAATCTTAAAATTGATGGTCGATAATTAAAATTCTTTCCTTCTAAATTCTCTCTCCCATCAGACCTTTCAAAGAATACGCAACAATCGCCAAAATCGTTTACGCATCAAGGTACGTAAGCGTAAATATGGCGACATGTATTTCATGGAGAATATGTTTTGCAATTCCTGTCCGATTTGCAAACGGAAATATGCCCTCGAGGTTGGTGGTAAACTGCCAGATGATGAGAACAAGCAACAGGATGAAATCGAAACTGTGGATGTGGAATCTTGCAATGATGATGTACCTGATTCGAATTCGGAACTGTCACAGGTACATCATGCTCATATGCCAGCTCTGAGTGGGAGTAGCAGCCATAGTAGTAGCCATAGCAGTTCAGGTGGTGGTGGTGGAGGTGCCAGTACACCAGGTGGCGCCAATTTGCACAACAGTAATAGCCAGCCAGGGAAATTGGATGGCATACTGTACAGAACTGCCAATTGTGCCATAAGTAAGGATAATATGCATCAGACAGCCGAGGAGGATATTAGCACAAATGTGGCCACCACCACCAGTGGCAGTAACAGCAGTAATAGCAGCAGTGCTGGAAGTAGCAGCAATTGGACAGAAGCTCATAATCCTGGCAGTAATATCAACAGCCATACGAATGCTGCTCAGGGGCATATATCAGGTAACATAGCTACTTTTAATTAAAAGAAGATCAGGGTAGATATCAATAATAATTTCTTGCTCGGTTTTAGTGAAAAATGTCAGCGAATTATCCTCGACAACCCATCACTACTACAATGCCGATTCCTGCAATGAGGAACGCAGCGCCAAGGACATGTCCATGGATACTTGCAATAATGACAGCGATGAGGATGTTATTGTGGATGACGATGACTCCATTAAAATGGCCAGCTATAACAAGAAGAGGAAATATGAGGAGGCCATGGTGGGCAGTAGCAGGTAAGAAACAGAAGAAAGAAAGTAAAGTCGGTATTCACATACAAAAAACAAATCAATTTTTAGAATTTCAGACAACCCCTCACCGGTGGAGGAGAGGCCACGTTCTGAGCCCCAGGTTACCAGTACCGAAACCACCGTGGAAAATCCTCATAACAATAATAATAACAACAACACCACAAAATACACAGCATTTGAAGATTTGAGAAGTAAACACATGACCCATCACGGCCAGCAGCTGCAAATGCAGCATCACCAACCACTTGAACGGGATTCACCCAATGGTCATGGTCATGGACAGGTGGCACCACAACATCCCGGCCTCATGCCAGGCCTTGCAGCAGCACAACAACAACAGCAACAATTGGACTCAAAGGTGGGAAATAGTTCGGATATAAAACCCGACAATGAAGATGATAACAAATGTTTCATTTGTAAGGTAAATTTTTCAGTTTTGTTAGGGCCCGCCAGGGCAGTGTTTCCTGCCCCGGGATTTTTTTATTTGCAATTTTATTGAAAAGAAAGAAGCGATTGTTGTAATTGTTGTTTTAACTTTTCCAACATTTTCTATCATTAAGACAGGTATAAAGGACTTTGCGTCGGACACATTTTTGAGAGGGCGTAACTTTTATTTCCATCAGAGTTGTGCCAATGTCATGAGCAGTTATCGTTTGAACAAAGAACTTCAGCAGCAGCAACAACAACAGCAACATCTTCATCAACAAACCGAAGTTGGCAGCAGTGATAAACCAGCCACGGTGACACAATCCCAATCGCAGCCAACTTCACAGCAACATGTTGACAATGGCCAGGCAACACACAAAGAAAGTTAAGACAATGAGAATTGCAGAAAAAGTGATGATAACTATAGCGAAAATAAATTGGGAGAATAAAAATAAAGAGAATCTAATTTGTGGCCATACAAGAAGGAGAAATTCTGATAAATTTAGATGTATAGCAACATGTTGCCGGACTGGGGCAACATTCAGAAAAGTACGGTTATTTCAATGTCAAATCATCAAATGACAAGCCTAATTGGTGTCAAGTATAAATCTGTGAAAAATTGGAAGGGATTTTAAGTCGAGAAAAACAAAAAAAAACATTATAGCAACTTGTTGCTAGACTAGGATTTTCCCTGCAACATTTGAAGGGAAAATGCTCAAAGCCCATAGAATTTATGCAAATTTTGATAGATCATGGTTAAGCAAATGATCTCCTTACTCGGAAATAAATTTCACAGAGGATATTACATGAATCACCAAAATCTTTTGCAACATGTTGCCAGACACATGTGTACAACAGCCACTACCATCTACCACGATATCTTCAAAAAGGCCATAAACCACAAAATAAAATATGAAAGAAGTATAATTTAGATAAGAATTTTAATAATTTAATGAAAAAATTTAGAGACCCCCTTCCCCCTCTGTCCCTACAATCAAAGAACGCGACAAAACATATAAAGAATTTATTAGAGAAAAAAGGAGAAAAGTAAAATAGCAATTTAAATGTAGTTAAAGAAAAAGAAAATAAATTATATTTAAAATATAACAAATAAATTTCAATTTAAATGTATAAAAATTATAATTATCATCTACGAATATATAAAAAAATCCATGTAAATTTTGTTTTTCTTTTGTCTAGGTAACTTAAGTGTAGACTGGATTGTAAAAAACAAGTTAAGTTCTCCCTCCACCCCTTGTAATGCCTCTCTGTAGATCTTTTCTTTTTGTTCCCCAACATTTCTGTTAGATAATTTTTCTTAAAGGCTTCAAACAAACAAACCCCTAATTGCCCTAAATGTATTAATAATAAATGTGTAATTGTTATTTATATAATTTTAACTTAATCTAATTGTAATTAAATGAAAGTATTTTAAATTAATGCAAAAACAAAACAAACAAAAATCATAAGAAATACACATATTTTAAAACAAATACAAAAAAATGAAATAAATAACAAAATACTAACGATAAACATGCTTTCGGATTTTTTATTTATTGGGGTCATTGTTAGGTAAGTCAATTGATTCATGGAAATTTTCCTTTAATTGTTCGGGGAATCATAATTCACTGCCCTATAGTAGACTTCGAAAATATTCTGCTGACATTTAACAAAATTGCAAAAATCCTGCACTAACCATAGAAGACTTCGGAGGACTTATAATGATTCTAAAAGTCCTCCTGCTGATTTGTAGAAGCTTTCAGGTATCTTACTAGTCCCTAGGAGACCTCAGGGGACTGTTGTCTTCCACGAAGCTATAGGTAAAACCTACAAGGCTTTCTGCTGATTTATAGAAGACCCCAGTGGCTTTATTTTGGGGAGGTCTCGGAAGTCTTCTTTTGATCTTTAAAAGACCTCTAAAGTCTCCTCTATCGACCACCTTTAAGATTTTCTACTAACGTACTAACGACTTCTGCAGATCTTAGGAATATCTAGATACCTTCCATTGACCTAGGGAAGACCTTAGAATTCTTATACTGTTATATAGAAGGCTTAGAATGCCCTGGATAAGATCTCTGCAGAATTCAGCTGCAAACAAGATAAAGGTCTCTAAATTATTTAACTGCCTTCTGGAAGGACACTTTATAGGTCTTCTACTGCACTGAGGAAGCCCTCAGAGGTTATACACTGGAAAAAAACCTCAGAGATTTACCACTGGAAGTCCCTAAAAGACCTCGGATGTCATTTACAAATCTGGAAAAAATCTCTGTCGTATTTTGTTCAGCTGGAAAAGTCCTCAGAGGTATTGCACTGCTCTGCTAAGACCTGAGAGGACTCTTTTTGTACCTTTAAAGAAAACCTCGGCACATTTTCGCAGACCTAGATAAAGTCGTAGACACCTGACTTAAAAAAATACTTCATTGAACTCCTACAGACCTGGAGGAAGTCTCATATGTCTGCCAAAAACGAGAGCTTCTCAACGGAAAAAGGTTGTTCCTGCTCTTGTAAAGAGGAAGAAGAAGACCACCGAGGTCTTCTCCTGCTCTTCTAGAGAAAAATAAGACGTTGGAGATCTTCTACTGCTCTTCCAGAGAAGAAGAGGATCTCCAAGGTTTTTTTCCAGATCTTTTTAAGAAGAAGAAGACCTCCGAGGCCTTTTCCTGCTCTTCTAGAGAAAATGAACCCCTCTGAAATCTTCTCCTGCTCTTTTAGAGAAGAAGAAGTCGACGTCTTCTCCTGCCCCTCAATAAAAGAAGATAACCACCGAGGTCTCCTCCTGCTTTTCTAAAGAAGAAGACCACCGATGTCTTCTCCCGCTGTTCCAAAGAATAAGAAGACCTTCGAGGTCTTCTCCTGCTCTACTATAGGAGAAAAAGACCTCCGAGATCTTTTAATTTTTTATGAATGAAGATATTCGAGGTATGCAGCTGATTTATGAATGACGTCAGAGGTCTTCTGTTGGTCTAAACATGACCTCAAAGGTATTATAACGACTTTGAGACTTTGCTCTTCAATAGAGGAAGACATCCAAGGTCTTCTCCTACTCTTCTAAAGAAAAACTCCGAGGTCTTTTTCTGTCCTTCTAGAGAAGAAGAAGACCTCCGAGTTCTTCCCCTGCTCTTCTATGGAATAGGAAAACCTCCGAGATTTTCTGCTCTTTTATGGACGGAGACTTTCGAGGTATACTGCTGATTCATGGATAACGTCAGAGGTCTTCTGTTGGTCTAAACATTACCTCAAAAATATTTCAATCACTTCTAGAGAAGACCCCTTAAGACCTCCTCCTGTGCCTTGGGTAATAATAGAAGATCCATGGAAGAGTTCGGAGGAGTTTAACTGATTTATCTAAGGCTTGAAAGAAATGCAACTATTTCTCTCAGAATCATGGACGTCTTACACTATCCTCTTTCCTTTTCTCCCATGGTATACTTTTAAGTTTCTCTACTATGCCATAGAAGCAGACGCGTACAGACGAATGCATTTGGAAACTAATTTGGGGGGTTTAACTCGCCAAAAATTAACATTTTCATATAATACCTAAAAAAATGTCAGAAATATATCCATTTTGGAGGCATCCACCCAGCATACGTTCCTGAATAGAAACATTCATAAGATTTCACTGTGCTAAAGGAGGCCTGAGATATTGTGTATGGGCCTTTAATGATCCTATTTCTCTATAGAAGATATTATTTTACTGCAGAGTATCTTGAGATCTTCTACGGACGTGTAGAATAACGTTGTTTTTCCTACTGGCCTTATCTGCAGAAAATAGTTCTACTTAGTGAAAATATTGAAAGTATGGAATGTCTCATATTACCTAAAACATACATGTATTTAAGAGTTTTTAAATTCTTGTTTAAGTATCTGTTCTCGCAACACTATCTCTTGCACCGAATTTTTAACTCAGAGAAAATATAATCTATTTTTAGAAAAACTCTTCATTCTCTTAAAAAATGCTCATATCTAACTGTTAGGAAAATGTTTTTCCACTTATCGGTAAAAAAAAACCAATGACACTTGGGGGAAAACAAATGACAAAAAATGATACCTTCTCTTCAAGTGGGTGTTTATGTGAACATAAAAGAGAGAGATAGCAAGAGAGTAATTTGTGTTGAGTTTCATTTGAAATCTCTTTATGAAATATTCTCCCAAACTGATAACGAATGTCAATCTAGCAGTCACTAAGAATGCTAATTGTTATGCTGGCCGAGCCGGCTGATTATTGAGTGGTGGTGGATCAGTTGCTTTGGCACCGTGAGCGGTTCTATCCAGTTGTCGTTTCAATTAGTCGTGAGCAAGCAGTCACTTTGGACACTACAATTTATATTGGAGCGCTATCGCATTTAAGAGTGACGTCAAGTTTTAATTTCATTCACAGATCGCCCGCCAGTCAGACGGTTCTCAGAAGATTGCTGCAACGTAAATTCGTGTTATTGGAATTCCGCTTTATTTTTTTTTTTTTGTTTTTACTTAAGGTAAGCATAAACAAATAAGTGTCAAGTGTTTTGCCATATTTGAAATATGTTCCACCTTAAAGTTCTCACGCCAGGTTGAAACTGAAACCGAGAGCGGAGAACTCATGTTAACTATGCAAATGACACTAATGAAGGCAGTTTTCTTCTTTGTTGTTTCTGTTTCTATTCCGCACAGCCAGCGTTATGTTTTCAAAATTAACAACCAGATTGGCACCCCGCCTCTGCACACCCGGCACAACAATTGCCAGCCGTCAATTGACATCGCAACAAGTCTTCGAACGCGAAGATAAATACGGCGCTCACAATTATCATCCCCTGCCCGTGGCACTCACCAAGGCCAAGGGTGTCTTTGTCTGGGATGTGGAGGGCAAGCGATATTTTGATTACTTGAGCGCTTATTCAGCTGTCAATCAGGGCCATGGTCATCCCAAAATTATTAAAGCTCTGACGGAGCAGGCTCAAGTATTGGCCTTGACTTCACGGTAAGTAGAAAAAGAGAGTATAAAGGAGGAATAATGGAAATTTTTTCTTTAGTTTTCGAAGAAACAAAGCAAGAACTTGAGATAAGCCGAACAACTTTAGCAACAGAAATCTATATTTGAAAAAAAGAAATTTATTATCACTCCCGGGGAGTAATTTTTGTGAAAGCAACGCACAGGGAGTGTTGGCTGTCTTATCAGGGTAGTCTACCATAAAATAAGAAGAAAAAAAACGAGTATAGCAACTGATAGTGATGTTGGCCCACAATATACCACCAATAGCATAGGTCAAGCCTTATCTCAGTTATTGCTCTTGATTTGAAATCTAAACATAACGCTTTGTACATTTCCAGTTCGTTGTCTTGTTAATTGATATATATATATTTTGTTTTTATTGTTGTATTTTACTAGAGCCTTCTATTCGGATGTCTTGGGAGAGTATGAGGAATATGTCACCAAATTGTTTAACTATGACAAAGTTTTGCCCATGAACACCGGTGTTGAGGGTGGAGAAACTGCCTGCAAATTGGCCCGTAAATGGGCTTACACCAAGAAGAATATCCCGAAAAATCAAGCCAAGGTAAGAATTAGAAAAAAAAACTGTTGGACACGATGAATCGTGCAGATCTATAAAAATCTTAAAAACTATGGAATGTCTAGCCAAGACAAGACTTTAGAAGGCTTTTAGTAGTCTATAGAAAACGACAGCGATTGTTTATAAAAAATATATACATATATTCAACTGATCTATAGCAGATTTCCAAGATATCAAAGAAACATTAAGATGGCCGCTAAGATCTTTACGGACCTATAGAAGGCTTAATAATTCGCAACTGACTTAAAGAAGGCAAAATACTCCCACTATCCACTGACGTGTCTCCAAACTCCTACTAAAGCTTTGAGAATGAGAATCTTGTAACATAAGTTGACAGTGGTATTAATTTGTCTTACAAGACTTCGGCTAAGTTCAGTTTTTAGGACATCAGAAAACTTCAATTTACCTCTAGAAACTCTTCGAAAACTTGTACTAATTCTAGTAGAGTCCCTGCTCTACTGCCATAAAAGAGTCCTCAGAGGACTTAAACTGAGCTATATGTAACATAAATGAGCTCGAGGACTTTAACTGACTTCTTGAACCCCTTTCGGAATATTCTGCTGATCAAAGCCTTCTATTGCGGCCTTCTTTTGACCTATAGAAATCCTCCCTCCATTGACATATGAAAGATCTTAGAGGACTTCTTCCGACCCAAAAATTTTCTACTGAGAATCTTAAAAGGAATTTAAAGACGGCTGGGCAAAGCGACCTGTAGACTAACTTATAGAATATCTAGATGGCTTCAAATAACCTATTTGTGAGCGACCTCAAAGGGATTCTTCTGATTTTGATAAGGAATCAGGAGATTTTTATTCACTTAAAGAATACATCTGAAGACTGAACTTTAGGGGTCCGGTGAAGTCATCTACCTAGATCTAAAAGTCCTCAGGGGTTTTCAACTGGTCTATGCAATAACCTCGAAGGTATATAAAGCACCTAGGGGGGAAGCACCCCAAAATGTGTCTACTTAGTTATAGAAGACCTTGACTTTCCTACCGAAATTTTTCAAAGGAGCTTACTGACCTAGTGATCTATAGACAACCTTAAAATGATTCTTCTGCCTGATACAGAGTCGCACATTTATGTTCTTCCAATGTTGATACTCTTTGAGAATTTTAAATAGGCCTGATGCACGCGTAGCTACTCCTAACTGGCCCTGCTATAGAAAATCGCAGATGAATTCTACATTCCTAGTCTTTAGAGGACTTGTATCCCAACACAGAAGACCTCAGACGGATTCTACTTGAAGTATCACTTTGGAATTCTACTTAGAAGTCTTTAAGTTTGCCACCTTGCCGAGATCCTCTAACGACTCGAGTCGACTAATACTATGTGGAGTTAAAGAATTGAGAAGATAAATAGACGCTTCGTTAGGGTTTATTTTCAAATCTAACTGACTCGAAGATTAATGTTTAAAAAGAGAAACTAACCTCTCATTTCGGCAGTAGTATCAAATCTTACTTTTTACAAATACTTTCACTTAAGAACTACTTAAACTTATATTACTTAACCTAATCGCAGCCATACAATATATTCTTACATTGGGAGAGAGAGAGAGATCATTAATTTTATGCGGGTCATAACCTTTATTATCTTACACATCATCGCATGCGACATCACACAGAACTGACATTGGTGGTTTAGAATATTTATATTAAATTGTTCGATTTTCCAACGCTTCAATCTCATCCAAGAGAAAGGACAGATTAATTTGTAGGAGTGACCTATAAAAGTCCTCAAGGATCAAGGAAACCTCTTTTGTCTCATGGGGCCTTGAAAAAAAAAAAACATAAAAATCGTGTATTTTCCCTCGCCTTTAGAAGGCCTTGAAGGTTTCATCTGTCGAAGATTAAAGAGGTCTTTTAAAGATATATAGAAAATCTTTCGACATATTTTTCTGAGGAAAATGTGCTTCTTAAGACTTTCTCTAAACTTTAGAATCTTTTTAAACCAAAATAGTTCTGAATTTGACTAAATTTTCTAAAAACTTTACTAACTGATCTAATTATTTTTTCTTTATTTTTCCAGATCATCTTTGCTGAGAATAATTTCTGGGGCAGAACCTTATCAGCCGTCTCAGCATCCACCGATCCCAGTAGTTATGAGGGCTTTGGACCATTTATGCCTGGCTTTGAAATCATCAAATACAATGATGTGCAGGCCTTGGAGGTATATTTCACAATTAAATAATTAAAAATCCGGAACTAAAACAAATCTTCTGTCTTTCTAGAAAGCCCTTCAAGACCCCAATGTTTGCGCCTTCATGGTCGAGCCCATTCAAGGTGAAGCCGGTGTGGTGGTACCCGATGATGGCTATTTGAAAAAGGTACGCGAACTGTGTACCAAAAACAATGTGCTCTGGATTGCCGATGAGGTACAAACCGGTTTGGCACGTACCGGTCGTATGTTGGCTGTCGACTATGAGGGAGTCAAACCTGACATTTTAATTTTGGGTAAAGCCTTATCGGGTGGTATGTATCCCGTATCGGCTGTCTTGGCCAATGATGATGTTATGCTGTGCATTAAGCCCGGAGAACATGGTTCCACCTATGGTGGCAATCCCTTGGGTTGTAAAGTTGCCATGGCCGCCCTGGAGGTGTTGCAAGAAGAGAAATTGGCTGAAAATGCCTTCAAAATGGGTGAATTGTTGAGAAGTGAATTGAACAAGTTGCCCAAGGATGTGGTTTCGGTGGTCCGAGGAAAGGGTCTGCTCAATGCCATTGTTATCAATTCAAGTAAGTGGAAATTTTGATGAGATTGGAATATCAGAATTTCCTATAAATTTATTTTATTTTCCAATAGAACACGATGCCTGGGATGTCTGCTTGAAATTGAAGGAGAATGGCTTGTTGGCCAAACCCACCCATGGTGACATCATACGTTTTGCCCCTCCCCTGGTCATCAACGAGGAACAAATGTTGGAAAGTGTGGATATCATTAAGAAGACCATTATGTCCATGTAAAAGACAATAGCCGTGCCTTAATTCCAAGAATCTGAAGTCTGAATATTTTGTAAAAGAAAGCATTTAAATGTAGATTTCTAAGTGCATTTTTTGTAAATGAAAAAAGAATTTATAAACATATTTTTTAATAAAAAAAACGCAATTTCCTTTTTTGTTTGGGAAAAAAAAGAAAAAAAAAATTGAAATCATAACCTCAATATTACAATGACAAAAGTGTGTCACCCAAAACCATTGACAGACGTCGCTCGACCATCAAAGCCAACAAAAATAATTGAATCATAAAATTACCACTCATTTACTCGTTGTCGTCGTCAGCCTTGAAGGAAGTGTCTCCAAAAAAACATTAAGATAAAAAGAACGCCTCAAATAATGTGAAACGAAATTATAAAAAACTCTTGATTTTTATTAAAAGAAAAGTGTTTCATATTCCTCTCCTTTTTTGAGGCAAAAACTGTTTTTTAATTAAATCGCGGCTACTTCATTTAAATGACGGGGGAGGGATGGATGGATGGATGCATAGTCTTGAGACAAATCAAGTGACATGCGGTCGTTAAGCAATAAATTGGCTACAAAAAAGGACATTTTGCGACAATACAATGACAGTCACGGTAGCAGGGCACAAGAGCAACAGCAAGGATACATAAAAATGTCAAAGTAGCCTTCTTGCTGGCATTGTCGTGTCTTCTTCCTTCGCCGTCTTATCTGTTGTTGGCCAAGTAGTTAAGAAAACAAATACTTTCATTTATTTTGTAGTCAGGAATTTCTGGGCAATAAAAACCGTTAACAAGAGAATCTTAAAAAGGTAATTATTGCTGTGAGCAGAAAAAAATTCTAAAAATATATTGAGGGGGTGGGACATTATTTTTTGATGTAGAGAGGGGTTAAAACGACGCTGGGAATTCCTTTAACCAGCCAAATATAAACAAAGATTATGGTGTTAAATGGATTACACAAAATTCTACAATAGAGTTACAAAATGGGCATAATGCGCCACAATGGTGGCAAGGAAAATGCCATAAAAGTCGACGAACTCATATTTTTATGACACGGTCTTATTGTTAATTCGACGCTTTTGTATTGTTTCTTTGCCATAACCAAATGTAATATTAGAATATGAAATTGAGTTGGCAATTTAAAACGGGCAGCAAAAAAATAATAAGTTTAAGAGGATTTATTCTTTTGCAATTTAATATACATTTTTGTTCGAAGTTTTTTTTTTTTGTTTTAATATCACCATTTCGTAAATACATTTTTTGATCGTTGGAAGGTCAAATTATAAGCTAAATATGTATAGATTTCGTGGGTGTCCAAGGGTAATCATATGAACCTAAATTATTAATCTATGTCGGAAATGTATCTGGAAAATCAAATTGAGTAGAAAATTGAAAACGCACAGCAAAAAAATATTTTTTTAAGAGGAGTTATTCATTTGCCATTAAATATATTTTTTGTTTTTTAATATCACCATTTCGTAAATACGTTTTCTGATCGTTCAATGTTATGTAATAAGCTAAATATGTATGAATGTCGTGGGTTTCCAAGGGCAATCTGTTTGGCCGACAGATGTATAACCCCAGACTTGAATTATGATTATTCTAATTGTTGACTCTTTATGGAAGAGGTTCCGAAGCAGTTGTCCAGTATTGTCCAATTCGTATCTGATTTTATAATCGTTTTGGTTATTCAAAACTTTTACCAGAAGAAATGGTACGATATCTGACATCTTTATAACAGATCTTGTGTTCATGGAAATATCGAGATGTACGAAGTCTGATTGGAATCGGATGTTAATTTCGTGTTTTATGAGCTTCATGAATATTCAAAATTTGGAACCTTTGTGGAGAAGGTACCAGAAGGAGTGAACCGATATATTCAATCTTCGTTAGTAGAAATAATGAGATGTGTAAAATATGAAGAAAGCCGGATTCTTATTTTAAATTTTATAATAGTTTCGGTTATTCAAAACTTCGACCCTTTGTGGGGGAGGTACCAGAAGGAATGGTCAGATCTCTATCAACTTTGTCACAGATCTTGTGTTGATGGAAATATTGAGATGTGCCAAGACTGGATGGAATCGGATGTTAATTTCGCGTTTTACGAGCTTCATTGATGTTCAAAATTTTGACCTTTATTTTCTAAAATTGGGGCAATATTGGATTATCCTTTCTCTTTCTATGCAGTTAATTTTTTGGATTATTTCGACTTTTTGCGGGGCAGGTACCAGAAACAGTGGACCCATATTACCCATCTCCGAACTCAATCTAGGTTTGACAATAATATTACGATGTAACAAGTTTGGATCAAATCGGATACTTCCTTCGAAAGTTGTCGTGCGCACTAACCAGACAGACAGACCGAGGGACGGACGGACCCCGCTAGAACGACTCCAAATGTCCTGAAACAAATTTTATCCAAAGACATCTAGGATTTAAAACCGTTATTTCGATGAGGCACGTTTTGGTCGTATCAAATGATATATTCCCTCTTTAGCCAGGGTATAAAAAATGAGGGTATAAAAAATAATGTAAAAAATCTTGACACTACCAAATTTTCCTACCGATGTCTCAAACTCCTGATTTTCTTAGGTAAACATCAAGTATCTCTTCGAGACTACCAAAAATACTTTTGCCAAGTCTTAACACATTCAATTACGATTAAAGTGGCTAGACAAAGCTTATTACGTGTAATTTCTTCACAAAAAATATTCAAATTCTCCTCAAAGAAAAAAATTAAGGAATCCTGATGAGGAATATAACCTTCTTTTTTCATTCTCCAAATAAAGACATTTTAAGGTTATTACCGATGACTCAGAGTAAAGTTCAAACAAGTGGCGATAAAACCATCAGATTATGTGTGGCCTTTAACGCCCTTTTGTTCTCGGGGACAACCACCCTCAGTGGTCAGCAAGCCAACAGCTAAGTATCTTAGCATAGATTTGACTTTGCTCCACAAAAAAGGAACGAGGGCATTTTTGGTTGTTTTCTCCCTTTTTTTTGGGAAACATTTCTTTCTTCTTCCTTCAGAGATGGCGTGTGTTGATAAACAACACAGCTGGCCAAAAAAAAATATTCTAAAAAAATCTAATAAAAAACCATTGAGGACATCCTGTTGCTATAAAGTATTCTGCCGGGCAGGACACAACAATACAACCTCGAGATGTGTTGAAGTGTTAAAGACTTTTTTTAAGGATTTTATTACTTCACAGATAAGATTTGAATGAGCCATTCCGAGACCAAACAAAAAAAAAAGAGATACAAAAATCTGCAACAGAAAAATAGAAAATATGTCTAGAAAATGAAATTAAGAGGGTGTTAAAACGGAACACACAAAAAAGTTAATTAAAAACTATGTCCAAACAGGAGGAGGACGACGACGATGATGATGATGACCTAACAAATGGGAGTCAAATTAAAGAATTGCATTAAAGACATTTGTCCCTTGGAGAAAAAATTACAATCAAATATCAATAACAATTCGATGACAATATTGAACAGATTTGAATCTGAAACAGATACTCGAAAAGGAAAATTGATATTGATATTGGTTAATTGGTTACAAAACCCAAACAAGTAAAACAAGGGGAGGGAAGGAAAACCACTTAAAGGAAGTTTAACGGAGTTGTGATAAAACGACCCTTAAGGTTTTAAACTAACCTTTCCCTGCTGTTTATCATTCTCCCCAATCCCCTTAAAGATGGCCAAGTATTTACACAGAAAAGTACCATGCCAAATTTTTAAGCACCTTATCCAGGTAAGCTCGACACACAAACCCGCACACACTCAGACTCACCATCATCTATGCCAGCAAGGACGTGTTAAAATTTTGTGCACAACAAAATCACAGGAATACAAATATTTGTATCCGTGTTAACGACTGTCATGTCTCTTCTGGTGTCAGTCACTCAGTCAGCCAGAAAGTGACAATGGAAGTGAAGTGTAAATATTAGCAATTAACAGGAATGACTGCCAAATTGTCGAGTTTAAAAAGCCAAATGATGCTTGTTATTGATTGATTGATTTACAGCAATAAATGGGTTTACGGTTATGGTACGGGGGAAATGTGGTTATGTGGTTGGGAGGTGGCAGTGTTTAATGAATAATATATTATTATTTGCTCATAACAGTCACATATTGCGGCTGGTATGGGGGAATGGGTGGTAAATGAAAACCTGATCAATATAATTGGGTATATACTTTTAAGAATACTGGCAGATAACGACAATTTGCATACGTGCAATTTTAGGGAACGCTGTTAGAGAAAATGTTCATAATTTTTTGCATATTATTTTCACCATTCCGTAAATACGTTTTATTATACGCTCAGCCAAATGGCTAGAGAGGGTATATATCATTTGATACGGCCAAAACGTGTCCCGTCGAAATAACGGTTTTATACTCTATGTTTCTTTGGACCAAATCCGTTTCAGGACATTTGGAGTCTGTCTGTCTGGTCTGTCTGGCTGGCTGCCGCGCAAGATAACTCTCGAAGGAAATATCCGATTTTTGTCCAAACGTTGTACATCGTAATATTATTATCAAACTTAGATTGGGTTCGGAGATGGGAAATATCGGTCCACTCCTCCCCCACAAAAGGTCGAAATATTAAAAAAAAATATTCAATAAAATATTTAACTGCATCGAAAGAGAAAGGATAATCCGATTTCGCTCTAACTTTGCAAATCATAGTATTTGCATCAGTGTTAGGTCAGGTGCGAAAAAAAACAATATCGGTCCACTCCATCAAGTACCTTCCCCAGAAAGGATCAATATTTAGAATAATTATAACTCTTACAAAATATGATGTAATGTTTCAATTATCTTTAAATTACACACATTACAATGGTGTGAAGATTGAAAATATCGGTCCACTCCTTCGGGTACCTCCCCACAAAAGGGTCAACATTTTGAATATTCATGAAGCTTATAAAACATCAAATTAAAATCCGATTCCATTCAGACTTGGCACATCTCAATATTTTCACCAACACAAGAACTGTTATAAAGATGGCAGAGATCGGACCATCCCCACTGCTTTGCAGGGGAGGCAAAGGGTCGAATAA